GAGAGTTTCAAAATAGTTTCTATAGAGTTTCCAAAATGATAACATACTTTTCCCTAGAGTTTCCATGCTCCATTTGTTATAAAAGTATATAAGATTAGCTTTTACCGATTGAATGTCTAATTTGTTGCACCAGATGCTCTACATTTTAGGGATGAGTGTTTTAACATGTTGGAGTTTTGAGGAAGCAAAATAAAATAAAGTATTCATGTCCATCCCTTTTTAGTACTACCTCTGTCCCATTTTATGCGTCTCCTTTGATTTTGTCAAATTTTTTAATAAAGTGGTTGAAAAGATAAAAGTTGTGGTTGAGATTTGAGTATAGTAAAGTGAAATGTTGTGAACCACATATTTCTTTCCAAAATGGAAAAGTAACACTTATTTTGGGACAACCCAAAAAGGAAAGTAAGACAGGTAAAATGGGACGGAGGGAGTAGTGCTTTTATATTTTCCATTGATAAAATCCAACCCATTTGAGTTGCATTTTTTCCTGACTCTAATATATCCATTGCTATATAGAAAAGTGCCATCTTCATTTAATAAGTTTTGAATTTTCTTCCTATAATCCAACTATTTTTTTTTCATTTTTCTGTGAGTAACAAATATTTTATCTAAATTTAAATACTTTTGGCATTTTATGCTTTGTACTTCATTTTATTTGAACTACTAACCTTCTTATTTTCTTTTCCAGCTTTCTGTTCAATTTTCTCCTTTAGGAACATTTTATATGGCATCTTCTCCTTGGCTTCCCTCTTTTCTGTGTAAGTTATTAAGTTATATGGAGTAGTAAATTTATTATTACTATTACTAGTATTATTATCAATAGTATATCACATTTACTACTTCGTATTAATGATCATACTCCAAGTTTTTATACTATTTGTTGGTTTTTTTGTGTATATAGATTTAATTCTCTCATTGAAGAATAGATTAATTGGGATGGAATCATGTCATAACTCATAAGCATTGAAAAATAGGAGGGGTTCTTTTTTAAACTGTCCAGAGTCAAAGGGAATGTGATGATACATGTTCAAAGTGAGGGTTGAGCATGTTGTTCATTTTGGTGGGTCATGCTTTGGGATGAGGTGGCACATAGGAACTTTTAGACTTGGCCATGAATGTAAAGGGTGGCACCATTTACCGTAGTACATGAACGATACCCGTCACATTGCAAATCAATAGGCCTCATCATTGTAACATTTTCAAAATGTTTAAATTTGTACTACTTACAAACTTGATGCTACAAACCCATTTTGACTTCAAGTTCAAACATTGAATCAATTATGATTGTTTAGATGTAGCATGAGCCGTGATAGAGAACACATTAGCCTCCGCTCAACGACATTTCAAGACGATTTTGTATCCATAAAGATGGGATAAAAGGAATCATATATATGCTTTAAAATTAATAATCCTTGCTATGACTTTTTACAATACTATTCTTAGTTCATGATCTTTGAAGACGTAATAGTTTTTGTGTGTGAAGGCTTTTTAAGCAACAATAAGCATTTGAACGGCAGAAGGAGAATAAAGCAATTGAGCCACACGAGAATTTTACCTTTGAATATCTATTGGTATGATTTATAAAAGTGTGATTTTTATTTCTATTCTCAAAGTAAAGATTCAGGTTATTCTTTTCTTCCTTTTTATTATGACGCGGTATTTTGTTTAGGTGAAAGTTTCGGTAAGTTTATATGTTTTCGGAATCATGACCTCGAGAAGTTGGATAATAAGACAATGTCCCTTTTCTATGCTTAGATCAACCATTATCCCACCTGCATGAGACATGCCTTCATAGGACATGACAATGTACCACTATTGGTTGAGCTTCATTCCTTATTGGGTTACGTATTTTGTTTGGATTCTTCAAGTCATATCACCCTTTCTTAGCTTTCTATCTCTCATTTGCAACTCCTACTTGAGATATAAACGCTTGATACCTAATAGAGTTTGGACTTTGTGTAGATTAACCAAAATGCACATTACAATTGTTTCTTTGATGAGTGTCGAATTTTACACTTGAGAATATGTTGGTGTGATTTATCAAAGAATTTGTGTTTTTTTATATTCAAATCTTGAAAATAAGGATCAAGGACTCAAGGTTGTCCTTCTCTTTCCTTTTAAGGTTAAAACACTAAAAATCACTTAGGTGTGAGAGGATACTTTGAAAGAATTCATTGTGTTAATGTTACTAATATCATAATTACTTTGTATGAAATAATGAACCATGTAAGTTTATCACTAATAAACATGTTTATGTTTCATTTTTACCCGATTTATTTAGTTTATTAATTTTATTTTGTAATTTGTTCTTCGAGGCCTGTTATAGAATATTTGGAAAAGCGATTTCTATAGAATCAATGTTTGTTGAAAAGGAAGGTCTCACCTCTATTATTCATGTAATGTATTCTATATTTTATTCATGAAATATATTTTAAATATAGTTTTTCATAATTGAGCCAATTCAACCATTTCAGTGAGAATTTTCACACACTTAATCGATTCAACCAATATCAATGCTACTAATACTTAATTCATCGGTTTCATCATGGAGTACATTACCTATAGTATATGTGTGAATATTATAGTAGGTTTGTCATAATGGATACAAGAGTGGGTATAAGGCGGGGTACAAATACTTTGTATCATTTTTTTTTATCTTTTCAAGTTTCACAAAAGTTGCAAAGGTTTTGTGATTATTTGTGGTGCAACATTGACAAGTAGGTGTTTTTTGGTATTACCTCTGTTCTTTTGAACTTTGCTAACTTTGAATTAGGTCAGAGATAAGAAAAATAAAAATCATATGTTTGAGCTTTGTGCATGAGAGAGAAAATTGTACAAAATTATAAATTAATTGCTTTATTAATGAAGAGTGACAACTTTTTTGTTAAGTATAATTTTATGGGATATTTGTTCTTTTCCGTTTTATATACTTTTTATATTTTGGTATTGACTTTGGGATCTACTTTTTTGTTGATGGTTTGAATGGTAATGGCAAAATATTTCTTATAATCAGAGTTAATGTTTTTAAAAAAGTGATATGAGGAATATGTGCAATTTTCTTATCAATCATATTCATCAAAATAAAAAATTAGATTACAATACCAGAATGGAAGTGTAACATTACTAAAAGACTATAATTCATCTTATAACAAATTTATCATGTATCCAAATAGTTCATTCTCATCCCGTGTGTTAGGGCTGGGCACGGGCCGGGTCGGGGCGGGTAATGCAAAATAAAATGGAATCACCGGTTCCATTGTACGGTTCGGTCCGGTCCGGGTATTACAATTTTCAAAACAGGAACCGGAAATTACCCGACCCGTTTGAAACGGGTCAGTCCGATCCGGGTTTTACGGTTTCTATTCTCATGTCTTGAAATTAGTAAAAACTCACGAAGTTCCAAAAATAAAAAATTAATAATATAAGACATTAGCAAGTTACAAAATAACAACATAGTGGTGCACATGTAACACAAACGACAAGTCCAATACTCCATAATTTCATGTATATAAGTTTCAAACAATTAAAGAGTATTTAAACATGTTTAAATACTATGAAATTATGTATTGGACATAGCCAAAATACATATTTTCTAACATTTGTATTTAAACATGTTGTCTAACATCACATATTAAAGTGATTGCTTTTTTTTATATTAAATTTTCAGTATTAGCCAAAGTTGACACATACATGGTGGGTAGTAAACACAATTTCTATATTTTAAGAACAATAAAATAAAAAAAAATATATAACAAAATCATTTTTAACAAATAATTAAATTCCATAGAAAGGAATAATTCAATAACAATAAAAAGTAATAAGATATTTATGAAACATTTAATCAATAATTTGAAAACAAAAGGATGTTACTGCAACTCAATTTAAAATCCTACTTCTAGCAAAAGAAACAAAATTATTTCAAAACCGATTATCACAAAACTATTAATAAATTAATATACAATATATATAACGGGCCGGGCCGGGTACCCGTTTTTTTAATTTTGGAACCGGTCCGGTTCCTTAAAAAAAGTACCCGACCCTACCCGGACCGTTTTATGGCAACAAAAATGGAACCGGCCCGTTTTCGACCCGAACCGCCATTACCCGGACCGGACCGCGGTTCTAGGACACGTTTGCCCAGCCCTGCCGTGTGTTCCCTATATAAATGGAAGATCCACATTTCTTCGAATAATAGGTGTTGAAATTTTTTAATAAGAGAAATTGAGGTTCATCTAAACAAAGAACCAGAGGATTCAAATGGAAAGATGGTTGAAAGGAAAATAGTTATCTATTGAATGCATCGATCATAAAAATCAGCTTGATGCGTGTGTGTAAATTAATGATAAAAATTAGCTTTTGATAGACTTCTATTAGCAAAAAATAAAATGAATATGCAATAATTCATTAATGGTTAGCTATGAAAAGTGAGGATCAATAGTTGGAGGTCATGGTCTCTTTTTATGAAAGTCATCTTCTTTATCATTACATGCTTATTTCGATATTGACTAGGCAGACAATCCAAATGATTTTAGTATTTTTTTATTCTGACTATTTTCAATCTTAGACCAGACCAGACTTAAACAGATCAGGCCAGACCAAACCAAACTTAAACAGATCAGACCAGACTTAAGCAGACCAGAGTAGATCAGTCTTAAGCAGATCAGACCAAACCAGACCGGACTTCCATATTTATAAAATACAATGAGACCAAACATTTATTGGACCAGATCAGACCAGAGTTAAACAGACCAAAACTGACATGAACAGATTAGACCAGACCAGCAAATTACAATACAAGTAAAAAGGTGATCTTTTTATTCTGGTTTTTGAAATTATTTCAAAAAGGTCATTTTTTTTCATACCCAAAGTAAATTTAATCTGGAATTTTCTCTGGATGCTAATCCGCTGAAATAGTATTCTTCAAGTCACTGCACATTTTTTTGGCGCCAACACCCTCAGCAAACACCTTTTGTTGTTAATACATACTCCGTATATACATATATATTCCGTGTATTAATTAATCGAGGCGGACAACATCCTCAGCAACGAAACTTCCTCAGCAAGAAAAAAATCAGTGTACTGCGGATTTCTCTCTGAACAACGAAACATGGAGATAATTCTGGCAGAAGAAGCCAAGCCAAGGCCACCATCTCTTGAAGAAGCCAAGGCCTCCGAGAGCCAATTTCTGGCAGAAGTTCAGGTAATGAAGACAGAAGTTAAATTTTCGAGAAACCTTATTGATTCTGCCGTTCCAGTTATAGTGGATGATCGTTTTCAATTATACTCTAACATATCCAGTTTATTGAATGTGAGTCAAGTATGAACTATTATAGTATAGTGTTGTCCCGTGTGATTGCACATTGAATAGTACAAGTGTATATGTATCATGTATGTGGTGTCTAAATGGATATTTCGTTTCGTTAATGAAGACCCAATGTTCTCGGCTAGCCATTATATGGGTGTTCCAATTTCAGGAATTTAAGGCCACAGTACCTGAAAGCTATGAGGAATTGTGCTCTTGCTTGATGGCGAAAATCAATGAACTTGAGGATGAGAAGGAACAACTACAAAAAACCATTCAGGATTCTGAGGATGCATTTGTGGTAAGTCACCTCACTGTATTGTATAGGATTTGTTTTTAATCCTATTTGGTGTTTAGGATTCTGAGGATGCATTCATGCATTTGTTGTAAGTCACCTCACTTTATTGTATAGGATTTGTTTTTAATCCTATTTGGTGTTTAGGATTCTGAGGATGCATTTGTTGTAAGGCACCTCACTTTATAGGATTTGTTGTTTAGGCTCTGTTAGGTTGTCTTTGTCACTGATGCTAGCAACTATTTTCCAGGAACACTCAGAACAATGTCAAGGCGAGAAGTTTGAACTTCTGTCTTATATTGGAAGCCTTCAGAAAGAAATATCAAGCTTATCTTCTTCATCCCTTAACAGGGAGAATGAATCACTTAGAAAAGAATTGGAGAAAACAAAAGCAAAGCTAAAAGATACAGAAGCCAAACTTAAGAATGCCATTCAAGAGAAAACAAAATTCGAGGTTTCATTCTGTGTGCTTGAAATCTGATTTAATTTGAATTTTCTATATCAAAAGCTATAGCACACCCCTTTTCTGCCATGTTTCTGTTAGAGTGAAAAAGCTTGTGCGGAGAGGGAAATCAAACTCTTGCATGGACAGAAGGCTGTTTTTGAGCGTGACATAAACAAACATGACTCCCTCGTGGGAAGAAGGCGTGATTCTGCTATTGGTAGGGGCTCGAATGCGTTTGAGGCAAAAAGGGACAAACGATCATCCTATTTAGCCGAACCGAGTATGCAGGTAGGGGATGACTGAGCTTGAATTGAACCCCCATAGTAATACAAATGCTTTCAGTCATGTTTTTATTTGTAGTACTTGACTGCACACCAACATACTATATATATGCTTTTATTCTGTAGATGAGGATATATATTTATTTTTAACATTCTTTTTGTAGGAAGACTTCATGAAACTTGAAGTCCTTGCGTTTGAGATGGAGAAAACTATTGCTTCACTGGAAGAGGAACTTGCAAACTCAAATAAGGAAAAAGAAGAGGCAGAGAGTAGAGCTGAGAGTTTGGCATCTGACATACATAAATTATCTGATGAATTAGATGTGTCCAAAACAGAGCTAAGCGCTTTGAAAGAAGAGGTTTTGCATCTTGTAAGTTTTTCATTGCCTTTGACACAACTGGTGTGTATGTACTTGAAATTTAACCGATCTTGTCTGTTGAACATGCTACACTTAATTTTCTATGTATCCCAGACATCAAATTTGGAAGAATCCAGGTCTCATCATCAGGGATTGAAAAGCACCATAAATGCATTGTATGGAGAGAAGGATGACCTTGCAATGGTATGGGATTGCTTATGGCTTAAGCAAATGCATTTGGGAAGTGTCCATAATTGCTCTGATTTAGGATTCATGGATGGTTTCATTTTCCTGCAGCAACTTGCTGATGCCCTTTTAAGTATAGAGGAAAGAAAGGTTATATGGTCTGCCATGGAAAAAACTTTAGTTGAAGCCATTGATGAAAAAACAGACTTATATAATGTTGAGATCGCCTCTTTATCCAAGGGATTGTCTGAGGTAGCCTTCATACTTTTATACTCCAACTCCTTTTCAAAAGGTGTTCTAGATAAACACTTATGCTTTTAGGTAGAATTTGATTTTGTATCTTGTTAAATTGTTGAATCTTGTACTTGAAGCTGAAAAGGTAATAAATTAGGGTTTTCTGACAAATGTGCCTCATACAGGCGCAACATGAACTTGAAATTTACCGAGAGGAGTGCAACCTCCTAAAGGAAAGTTTGACACGTTCAGAGAGAAGTGCATCACTTGAAAAAACTTTCTGGTTTGTCTTATCTTTGTCTCTCTGGTCTGATGTTTTAGCTTCTAGGTGTATTTTTCATATATCTTTTCCTCATACAACCTTTCTGTGTTTTTCCCATGGTAATACATATCATGATTTTCAACGGTAGTGAGAAATCACTAGAGAATGATCAGATCCGAAATGAACTAAGAGTTGTTGAGGAACACGACACAAATATGCAAGAGGTGATTTTCAGTTCAATTATGTGTGACCACTTTGTCATAAGCTAAAATTTACATCATGTGCTAATTTGTTCTTATATACTCAGGCTGTAACGCGTGTACGGAGGATAGAGAATTCTGTTAGTAATCAGGGACATGTGACACATGATCCACAACAAGTGGGAGTTAGGCACAGCTCTCGGGTGAAAAAAGAAAATATAAGGCTGAAAGATTACGAAATTGGGGCAAGAAGGAGGTGAAACTTCTTCCCGAACCTGTCTTCATCTCAAATTCTCTCTGTTCCTTTTCTGAATATTCTCTGAACATTTCCGTTCATTTTTATCTCTGTACTAGGTGAAGAATACTGCTTCTGTTCACTGAGAGATGAATCTCTGGAGCCAACCAGTTTAATTGTTCCATTGTTTTCTTTCCTTCTTAATGTTTGAGACTTGTTGCCAGACAATTGTTGCTGTAAATGTTAAAAAAAAAGACAATTGTTGCTATTAATAAATTTGTAATCTGCGTTAGTATATCGTTTCATTGGTGCTTTCATTGTACTTCCCTGGCTGAGGGCATTTGTTTGAAGGAACTGCAAACGGACATTCGTTCACATGCGTCGAATTGGCCAAACAATGGATATACGCTATCAGGAGCAAAATGAAAGGATAATGCAAATCAGACATCTATGGAGCAGATCCAATTGACTGTGAATCAGTTCTTGCAAAGTACTTTTCAACCACCTGGGAGTTCCATGAGCTGGCTCCGGGCACCCGGCCAGTCCGGTTCCAGCCCCGGACCCGGTTCCCATCATGTATTTTTTTAGCTTTTTGACCGGCCGAAGATAAAAAAATCCAGGCCGCTCCGGTCCTAGGCCCAGAACCGCTCAAAACAGACCCGGTCTGAGCCAAAACAGTGCCGAACCCAATTTTTATTGAGGGTAATTAGATATTAGGCAAAGCTCTATATTATTAATTTTTTGTAATGAGTGAGGTAATTTATTAAGTTGCTCCATTAAAATGAATATGCATCCACAATGTATTGATAGGTATTGATCATTCAATTGGAATATGTATTGATAGTTGACTTTTAATAACTAACATTCAATTGGAATATGTATTGATAGTTGACTTTTAATAACTAACAGTGCTGATCATTTTGTGAAAATATTCTCATCCTCATAGTCAGGGACAGGGGCGAATCCAGAAAATTCATCTTGGAAGGGCGGTAGTTTAAATAAAAAAATCTTTAGGGGGTGAAAATTATTTTTCGTATATATACACACTAAAAAAATTGTTGGAATGGTGGTAGCCCCCCTGGGTCTGTACTACGGTCCGTCCTTACTCGTAGTATCTTTGACACCATTAAAATTAGGTTTACATTTAAACAAATATAACTAGTAGTTTAAAAATGACTATCACTCCACTACATGTAATCTCATCTATCTTGGCAAAACCAATTTCTTGGAATTCTCGGAAGCAATGAACTATAGCGCGCCCATCGCCGAGGCTGAAATGCTGAATACTATTGTACAAGGTTGTTGCAAAACATGGAATATAAACATGGAACTGTTTATGTTAGTGCAAATCCCGTATTCCACTATTGTATGAAACATCTTGCTCTAAATTATCATTTTGTATGAGAGAAAGTGCAAGAAGGATCTTTACGTGTCACTCGTGTTTCTTCATATCATCAACCAGCAGATGCGCTAACCAAACCTCTTGGGCGTGCTGTTTTTCAAAATCTTATTTCAAAAATTAGTCTTACCTCATGGCCGTCCAACTTGCGGGAGCTTGATAAGATAACTTTTTTTAAGAAGAAATATATTTAAAAAATGAAAATGCAAAAACAAGTATGACTGTATGAGACAAAAAAAATAACAAGAAAGTAAATAACCCAACCCACAGTGCAATAGAAGTCCCCTTTAGATTTAAATTCTTGAATCAAAATTCCTTACTAGTTTGGGATCTAGTTCTGAAAAGGCAATTCAATGTGAAATAAAGGAAAGCATCAATCACTTGAGTCCAACCATTACAAGTTCTAACTTCTAATAGACTACGAATTTGAGGTAAGAGGTCAAATAATGTTGGTACATAATGTTGGAATAACTGATGTGTACACTCCGTTTACTATAAAATCATTTGACTTGTTATCGTTATTCATTTACATTTTTGGGCCTGCCGTCCTGCACACATTAATGATTCTGAAAAAGGAATCCAAAGTTCAATATCATCAATAATAGAGCACAGAGTCAGATTTCATGTCATTTTAACATAAAAAATCAACATGGAGTACACATTTGATGCGCATGATACTACAAAGCTGTTGCACAATTTTTCAGCCCCACCCTCTCCAACAGTCAAAAGAGCCACTCGAGGAGGCTCCAACGACTCTCTTCTTCATGTGCAATGGCTACCAAGGAAAAAGGAAAAATCAAAAACTAGTAGTCGGAGACCGGATTGGACGGTTCGTATCCCCATTTTGGGCCATCCGAGACAGATAACACAAAATCAAGCCTCCAGGTCCAGGCACCGGTTAAGAAACGACCGATTACAATCCAGCCCAGAGACCGAAATCATGGCGACTACTAACCTATAATGTCCATCAAGCTTGCGAAGAAATTAGGGGTTGTTCATGCTGATAAGAACAATTCTTCACTAAATAATACTACGTATAAAAAATTAAAAACATTACATTTATCAATCTTGAACTGAGTTGTCTGACCTTTAACCTCACATGACATCAAATCACATCACTCAAGGAGGCTTCTATGCACTAATGACACTCACGTCGACGTTGTCACTGCACTAAAATTTTGCCTCCCCCTGTGCGCAGCACGACAGAGTGACCAGAATGGAAGGTAATGCTCATAAATTAACTCATCTCATAATTCAACTTTCAGCAAGATAAAGATTTTAAAAGCCAATTTGATTGAGTTTGATCACATGAAGATGCAAATGTTGAGCACTTTGAGCTTGATGGTCAACTAGTCAACCCTATTATGCTATTAGAGATGAAGCAGAAAGCATATTGTTTACATTCAGTGATCAATTGTTTCCAATGTTAGATGCATTAATGTTTTAGTTTACTCGTTAAATTAAGTGTATTATATATGTTTTATTACGCATAAATGTTAGAGGACGTAAAATGTTTACACTATTTGATTTGATTATTTAATGCATTATTTAATTTGGTACTCGCTATTTCTCTCGAGTTAAAGATACATAAATGAAGCCTACTTAAGTGCAATAGAAGCCTCCTTGATATTTACGCGTTAATATTATAACAATAAACTTAAATGTATGTATAGGTGTTTCACTAAATTATTAAACCATAAATGTCAAATGTCAATATCTTGAAATCATAATAAATCTAGTATTAACCATTAATTTTATAGAATTAAGAATTAAGAACCAAACAAAATATTATACTTAATGATAAATAAATAAATAAATAAAATAGCAGGTTATAAAAAGTTCAATTTGTTTGTTCGGTTTGGTTTTGAGATGCGAAAACCAAAACCGAAAGTCCGAAACCAAACAATTATAGTTCAATTCAATTTTTTGAGTTCAATTTTGATTTTCTTATAGTTTGGTTGTTTAGGTTGCGATTCTAGTTTCTTATAGTTTGGTTTTGATTCACTTTTGGGTTTCACCGACTTATCCCCTATGTAGCACCGATACCGGTACGCGGAAACGCGGAAACGCGGAAACGGGTACGGGGATACGTCAAAACAAAAAAAAGTAGGATACGGATACGGGGCCATATTTATAAATATTAAAAGTTATGGGGGTGTATCTACAAATATTAAAAGTTATAGGGGTCTATTTATAAATATTAAAAATAGGTTTTTTTTTGAAAAAATATATATACATATAATATCCTATGATGTCTACTCATTCATTGTATTGAAGCATTTTCCTTTTTCAAGATACTTAGTAATAAATTCATAATATATTTCTCATATACACTAGTGCATCTCGAAATATAAATGTAGTCAATAAGTCATTAATTTAAAATGAGAAATAAGTCAAACAACTACAATCTTGAAATTAAAAGTGCAAGTACCCAATTCGGAGTATGAGTTAATGACTTAATTCGGATATAGCCATATAGGCCCATTATTTGATTACTAAGTAAAATGTAGTTTTAGATTTTCATTTTTTTTAGAATTTTATTAAGTAAATTTTGGGATTTTTTTTTTTTAAAAGTTGATACGGGTATCCGTCAGGATACGAGTATCGGAAACTTTTAAAAAATTACAAAAAAAAATGGAAACTTTTAAAAATTGCAAATACGGCCCGGGAACATACGGTACGGGTATCCTAGAGTATCGGATACGGGAACGTATCGGATACGCCGATACGCTACCCTAGGGAAGTATTCGTGCTTCATAGCTTATCCCTAATGGCAATCAGGCCTACACCCCCATTAGGACTTCGTTTTATTTCCCCAATTGCATTTTTATGATTCAACTTTATTTTCTAATGATTCAACTTGAAATAATGACAAAACTAAGACATCTAGCTTTTGATTAGACAAAAATAGGACTAATTTTCGTTTAAGACAAAAAAGGGATTAAAATGATACGAAGTTCCCCAAATGCCCCTAAATCCCTAAAATCCAATTACGCCTGACACTTAGGCCTTAGCTTCCATCTTCGTTGAACTTCAACCTCCTCCTGCGCATTGGAGAGTGTTGCATGACGATGACAGATAATTCGTCTAATAAATCATCCTCCCTAGTAGCTTTGACGACGGAGATTCGAATCTTCTTCACCGATTTAAAAGACGGGGCTTTTTGAAGACGGTGATGGAGATCTAGGACATAGCTATGGAGCTTTGCGAAGATGAAGAAACCTCTGTACCCTCCGTTCGTACAGAAAATCTCTTTCGATATCGCCGTCTTCGTCTTCGTCTTCTTCACCGATCTTCTTTCTCCCTTCCGTCTGTTCTCGTGTCTAGGTTTTATGGCGGTGGTGGTGACTCATCGAGTTTGTCGGGTGGGATGCGGCGGTTGTAAGTGTAGGGAGGGGGATGGGATGTTGGGTAGGGGGTTGGGAGGCTGGGGAGTAGGGAGGGACGGAGGTGCTGCTGCGGTAAAGGTGTGGCAGACTGCTAGATCCGGCCGGGTGGACGGGCTGGGGAGGGAGGGGCTGAATAGTTGGCTGAGACCTGAGGAGGGGGCTGGGGAGCTGGGACGGTGGTCCGATGGTGGCCGGAGGTCTTGGTTGGCGTCGGTCAGCGGTGGAGGGCTGCTGGTAAACGGAGGTGGTGGTTGGTGTCTGTCAGCGGTGGAGGGCTGCTGGTAACCGGAGGTGGTGGTTGGCGTCGGTCAGTGGTGGAGTGCTGCTGGTAACCGGAGGTGGTGGTTGGCGGTCATGGTCGGGGGCGGTGGAGGGCGGTAGTCAAGACCGGATAATTCAGGTGAATTGGGTAAATGTAACAAGTAATCGGGTCGGGTAACTGTAATTGGTCGCAACGAGTAATTATAATTGGTTGGATTGCGTAATTGTAACTGGTCGAATTGGGTAAATCTAACCTACGAGATTAGATAACTGTAACTAGTCGGATCGGGTAATTGTAATTGGTCAAAACGGGTAATTGTAATTGATCGGGCCGGGTAACTGGTTAGATCGAGTAATTGTAACTGATCAGATCAAATCATTGTAACTGATCAAAATTGGTAATTGTAACTGGTGGAATCATCTGTAACTGTAATTGAGAAGTAATTATGATTGGTCAACTTGTATTTGTAATTGAGAAATAATATGGAGTATAAAAATCAAATAAATACTCGGTATGAACTTTTACTTTCAAAATAAAATAAATAAACAAAATGAACTTTTTTTATCATTGCCCGGGAACACAATCAGTGAATCAACACATGCGTGGAGTCGTGGAGAGATGATACGTATTTGGTTAGCAACTTGGCAGGGCAGGGCAGGGCATATTTGGAATTGACACACACGCACGGTCACTTTGTTGGTAAATACTAAAAGAGGTCTTACTTTTGTCCAAATCGTTTTAGTTAGTATTATTTATGACCTAACCCCATTTAACTTTTAGTTAAACACTGGTTTTAGTACTGCCAAGATGGTTAGAATCTCCAGCAAACATAGATGTATCAAGTCCTATATGCCTATATGGCCATAATAGTTTCATTAAACCAGCTTGACAGTCGGTGATTGGTATTGTATAGGGGTGGACTCGGGCCGGGCGGCCCGGTTACTGTTTGGCCCGGCCCGGCCCGGGGCCCAGTGGGTCCAACGGTTCGGTTTGGCCCGGCCCGGGTGATGGGCAGTCCGGGCTCGGGCCCTGCTTTAGGCGAACTGGCCCGGCCGGTTCGGGCCCGGTCCAGGCCGGATTTTAATTTTTTTTTTTTTGAAAATTTTTTAACTTTTGGGTTGGATTACGTATTTTGGACCATTTGAGGTGATTTGGGGTGGTTTGGGGTTGAGGGGGAGGGGGTTAAATAGGAGAACAAAAAAAAAGGACCGGTTTGGCCCGGCCCGGCCCTGTTTGGCCCGGAACCGGCCACCGGCGGTTCGGGCTCGGGCTCCAGTTTTCTGGCCCGAGACCCGGCCGGGCCCAGGCCCGAACCGGCCCGAGTCCAGCCCTAGTATTGTATTGCTCCTTTACAGGTGGTCATCTACTCATCTCTTTGTTAAAATTTGTATGAAGTTCATTATAATATTGGCAAAAACACAAAATGTTTCTTTCTCAACTGTCAGTTTGATGGATTATGGATTTTGGCGACTGAATTGTTACATGATCAACTTCTATGTTATTCCTTCAGTTTTGAGAAATACAATCTCAAATATATATATCAAGATATATCAAGATACAAGCCTAACTCTCCGAAACCCTTCAAAAATCAACACGTGCCCTATAAGTTTTTGCGCATCGTTCCTTCTGAATAAGAATTCCTTACCAAACATAAAATACACCAAACAAAACTCAAGATTTGTGAGGCGATTTACACTTTTCCCATCAATTCAGCAGTTTCAAGCCTTGTAGAAACAATTTCAAAGGGATTGTTGAGACAATTCTCTCTTTAACTCTACCCGCTTCCATCGAGTAGCCCATTGGAGACAAGGTGTGCCATATATTGCTGTTGGAGAGGTAAGAAAAGTGCAAAATCTCATGCATATTACAGTCACCAAATACACATATAAACACTTAAATAGACTATGTGGTTACTAGTTGCATGCAGTGTGAACTTTTCAGCTGATACCATATAGCTATGAATATTTTAATACTACTATTTTTTTTTGGGATTGAAGCACCGCTTGATTGTTGTGGAAATCAAGTACATCTATGCTTCTACACATGATGGACAAATGTATAACTCACAAAACGGAGCGAATAAGACTGATTAAGAAAATGACTTCCTCCTTTGGAAAAAGGAAGTAATTTTACACACGAATGCAAAAAATTGAAGATATATACTGTTTATTGGATAATCCCAAAGAATAATCCCACCTTTCACTGGTCTTCTCATAATAATCCCACCTTTAAATAATCCCAAAATAATCCCACCTTTGCACCTCATCTTCTTTCATTGGACCCTGATCATGTTTTTTACTTTTTCTTTGAAAATTATACAAATAATCTCACCTTTCACTTTTTAATTATATCCTTATAAATGTGAGATTATTTATATAAGATTTTTAAAAAAGGTAAAAAACTTGGTCAGGGTCCAATGAAAGAAGATGAGGTGCAAAGGTGAGATTATTTAAAGGTGGGATTATTATGAGAAGACCAGTGAAAGGTGGGATTATTCTTGTCAATTTTTCCAAGAATGAATGGATTGAAATACAATTTTCAAGATAAAATTTTCTCTAAATCAAAGGAAGCCTGAATGTTCCTTCATAACTAATTGTAAAGGAAGCCTGAATGTACACTTTTTTCATACAAGGAAAGGAGAGTATGGGGAGAACAATATTCCTTCATAACTAATTAGATGAAGAAAAATGAGTAATAGTGAGTGATATTGCATTAAAAGAAACTGCTATATAAGTAAAATATCATCAACTAACCGCATGATATGCATACGGCGTCTTCCCTTGGCGCTCAAAATGTTTGGCCATGATAGACCATTCAACCGGCCCCCACTCTTCCAATTCAAAACAATTGCCAAGTGCAACTTTGTATAACTGAAGCATAACATGGCATTCCAGACATGTTCAGATTAAAAACTACAACAGTGCATCAAAACACTCTTGGCACAACCTAATTTTATTCAACTTTATCTTGAACATGTTATATCACCATATTTATGAAACTTAAAATAATCAGTTTTTAATTTGATGAAGTATCCAGCAAAAAAAAAAATTACAATAACATAGCTAATAGGGCCATTCTATTAACTCAAATATTCCTTTTATCACACAGAAAATATCAAAATAGCTTCAACTGACCTTGGCTTGGTCAGTGAGGAGCTCAGTGCCAGCTGGATAAGAAGCATAATATTGGTCGCCTCTTGAGTACCCAGCTCGAGTACTGCAATGATTTAACAAGATGGCATAAATGAAAATGCATATACATTCCACTATTGAGTATGCAATGTAAATTTGGATTTGAATTTCTTGACATAGGAACACTATGGTAATAAGGTATGATTAACTAGACTATTGTTCTGTTGCATACAACACCTAACATTTCAATGGTAGAGTATAGACTTCACATTTTTGGTATTTTAATAATAATACAGATACTGGACATAATTTCTAAAGTTAGTCATTATAAGGAGAAGGTGATAGAGAGCAGGGAGATCAAGGGGTGGGAACGGGCTTGGGCCCACCTTCGTGGGCTGGTTGTGGGCTAGGATTATAGTTTTATTTATTATTATAGAGTTTATGTTATGTTTTCTAGTTTGGGCCTATGATTAGTAGAGTAGTTGGTAGAGTTAATGTGGGCCTAATTAGGGTTTAATTAATTTGGACTCAATTAGGGTTTCTGTTGAGTACTTGAGTCTCTTACTATAAGTCTATTTATACCCCTTGCTGGGGTTCAGTCTTGTTGATCTATGAATAAAATTGGACGCGATTAATCACTGAACATTTCACAGAGATGCAGGTCGAGCAAGCCCTAACCAATCAGAAACTGGACGTGCAGGGAGCGAAGTTGGATGTGCAAGGAATCCAACTGGCAGAGATCGCAGCCTCCTTGGCTGCGCTCATAAAGGTTGTGGCGCCGCCAGTGGCAGAAGAGTATTCATCGGCGGTGGCTTCACTCAACGCGACAACATCATTCTCATTCGGAACTGGACTGTGCAGCACCTCTCACAAGACTCATTTGACGGAGAAGACCCGATCGGCTGGGTTGATAGGGCTAAGCAACAGTTCAAACTGAACTGTACTCCACCGGGGGGGGGGGGAGGGGGAGGTGGCAGCCGTTGTAGTTGCGATGAAAGGATCAACCGTTGTAGTCGGGCATGTCATCGGATGAGCTTACATAGGCATTGATCGCTTGCTTTGACTCACGATTTATGGACAACCGCTTTGACCGGCTGTCCCGAGTCAAGCAGACAAGGACTATGGAGTACATCTCAATTTTTGTTCAACTACTATGGGAGAATGGGGTATTTCATGAGCGGGCTAAAATGATCGAGTGGCAGCTTTCCTAAAGATATTCCTAAAGATACTGGACAGAAGGTGAGCCGGTTTCCGGATTTCAACCTTGAGGACAAGGTTGTTTTGAAGGAGGATGTATTGACATAGAGCAGGGAATCAAGGGGCGGGAACGGGCTTGGGCCCACCTCCGTGGGCTGGTTGCGGGCTAGGATTATAGTTTTATTTATTGTTACAAAGTTTATGTTATGTTTTCTAGTTTGAGCCTATTATTAGTAGAGTAGTTAGTAGAGTTAATGTGAGCCTAATTAGGGTTTAATTAATTTGGGCTCGATTAGGGTTTCTGTTGAGTCTCTTTCTAGAAAGCTATTTATACCCCTTGGCAGGGTTAAGTCTTTTGGCTCTGGGCAACGATTTAAAAAGGTGGGGGTTGTGTTATCTAATTGGCGAGTACTCGCTGGGTACTCCCAACTCGGGGTAGGGCCTTGCCGAATAGTACTCTTAGTCACACTGTTCCATTTTTTTGAGTAACTAGCCGAGTACTCGGCGATTGTCACTACTCAGTTATAAGGTTGATGTTACAAATTCCTTTTAGGGCATAAGATCTCAAAGGAAAGCCATCCACAATTATTATTAACGGAGTAATAGAGTACAAGAATAGAAATAATCATAGATATTAAATAATTTACTGATTTGTTGCAATTATTTTTTATTTATTTTCTTTCCATTTAGGTTGGCATAGATTAAAGGGGATTGATTGTAGAATCAATTCTATATATTGGCAGAATCCTGCAGGAATAAAGTATGCAATTTTTACCCTAAACTACTGAGCAATGCCAAGGGCAAGTCTCATCTCATTCTCTGGGACTCGTCAAGGATGACCCTTGCCTTCTTTTAGTATTGCTCGTAAAAAGAAACCCATTCCCTTCTCGGTCCTGCCCACGTCAAGCTACAGACCCTGGACGAGAGCCTGCACCAACACACTTAACACTTGACTGGCTGAGTTACTCGGTAGCCTATAAAATTGATTTTTTGGTGGTTAAATCTGACTATTTTAAACTAAATTGGGTTATTATTTTAAACTAAATTGGGTTATTATGAAATTTATGAATAATTAGATGGTATTTCAAAAATTGAAATGATAATATTACAAAGTCAATCTAGGTTTGGGGACATGGAGGATGGAAGAAGATGGTGACCCTTAATCCAATTAAGATTAGCTTAGACCTTTAGGAGAAAAGTTGGGACTAAAGTATACTAGTATATTATTAGGCAAATGATTTTTTTGGAAGTTAGAATGTTTATGATTGTTGGGATTTGTTGTTAGGGACCCGGCCCAATAGAGTATTAATAATAATAAATGTACAAGTTGAGTATAAATAGAATAAGCTTGGGCAGGTAGAGTAGGCTGTTTTGACTGATTAGTCTATTCTGGGAAGATTGAGATCATTTTCTCTCTTTTGGGGGGGCTTCGGCTCATTTGGGGGCTTCGGCCAGTTCTTATTCATCTCTAATAAAACTGCTTTGATTTCTTGAAACTATTTTACATTTCTGCTGTGAATTTGTTGTGATTTCTGGAGGTTTCTATCATTGGTATCAGAGCGGTAGATTCTGTGGATGGTCTGGACACGGACAAAAATGGATTTACGGATGACTGAGTTGGAAGACAACCAAAATCGACTGGAGGAGAAGATGGATCGGAATCAGCAACAGACTACGGAGATGTTGGCAGCAATTATGGCCAGGTTGGATGCGAAAGATCATCGATCAAGAAGTAGGTCGCATCGCTCATCTGCGTCACATCGCACATCGGCATCGCATCGCACTTCTCAACAGCATCAGTCGCGACACAAACATGCGAAGAAGGGCGACAGTTCAGACGGGTCAGACAGTTCGACTAGCCATTCCACATCGCGACATAATCACGATCCACATCGGAATCAACGACATCACCATCACACAGGACGGAAAATTGATATGCCAATCTTTAACGGAGAGGATGTTTGTGGTTGGTTGTTGAGGATGAATCGCTACTTCAGACTGAATAACACGGAGGACGAAGATAAAATTGATGTGGCAGTCATCGCCATGGAAGACCAAGCTCTCAGCTGGTTCCAGTGGTGGGAGGGACAAGCACAGCATCAGAATTGGGAATCCTTTACCCATGCTTTGACAAGAAGATTTCAACCTAACCTGGTTCAAGATCCGTTGGGGCTCTTGTTCAGTGTAAAGCAAAAAGGGACTATCCAGTACAGAGACCAGTTTGAGACAGCTATAGCCTCACATGGCCATTTGACTGAAGGGGTGTTGAAAGGAGTTTTTCTAAAAGGTTTAAAGCATGATATACGAGCTGAGCTGAAGTTACATTCCGCACGAACTTTGGCAGAAGTTATGGACAAGGTATCCCTCATTGAGAACAAGAACACTGAAGTTTTGTTTATGAAAAATAGAGAGGAAGGAAAGAATAAGAGACAGAGCAAGTACAATGTTCAGAATTCAGGCCAAAATTGGAGTGAAGGAAGCAGATGGAAGAAAAGCTACCCTGAGGTGATGGATCCCAACCAGAAAAGAAATGGCCCTAGGTTATCACAAGAAGAGTTGCTTGAAAGAAGTAAGAAGGACTATGTTTCAAATGCGGAGAGAGTTGGGGTAGGGGACATGTGTGCAAGATGAAAAATTATAAGATAAAACTAATGGAAAAATCTGAAGGTGAAGTTGAAACTGAAGTAGAATCAGGAGACTCAGAAGATGAAAAGACCTCACCAATGAATCTGAAAACCATGCAGCTCTCAGCCCTTAATAAAGAGGGCATATCTTCTGTGGAAATATTTAGGGTGAAAGGGAAAATGAAATGGTCAGGAGGTGAAGACTTTGTGGATATCCTCATTGATAGTGGGGCCACCCACAACTTTATATCACACAGATTGGTGGAGAAATGGAAACTACCTTACAGTCATATTCAGGGACATGAAGTGCAGATTGGGAATGGAGAGTGTATACTCAATCTTGGCAGGTGTGAGAGAGTTAACATAATGGTACAAGGAGTGGAAATACAACAAACTTACTACATGTTAGAGTTGGGAGTTACTGAGGTAGTACTTGGGCTGAAATGGTTAACTGGCCTAGGAGATATGGAAGTCAACTTCCAGAAACAGACTTTAAAATGGAAACAACAAGAGCAGAATTATACTATCCAAGGAGATACTACCCTAAATCAGATGGATGTTCCATTGGAAACTATCACAAACATTTTACAGAATACAAAGGGTGGATACCTGCAATACTGTGAAAGTATAGAGCAAGAACAACAGCACATAACAGCTCAGGATGAGACCGGGAATAGGATGGTGGGAGAATTTTCTGAAGTCTGGAAATCAACTCGAGGTCTGCTTCATGAAGGAACCTGGGACCACCCAAGAAATATCTTAAAGAGAACCAACCTACCCAACATCAGACCATACAGTCCCAAGAAAGACTTGACAGAGGTTACAAATTCAAGGAGTGAAGCCACTAAAACCCAAGAGCTGGAGTTATTTCCTGAGGCAAGAGATCTTAGTAAATGGAAGATTGAGCAATTGGTGATTAGTAAAGCCCAGTTTTTGCTTGATCAAAGCCACCCAAGTGGTAATCATGCTGTGAAATGTATGTGGCAGAAGATGAAAGCAGCAAAACTAAAAGTCCAGCCATCACTCCAGTATTGGAAAGGGAGAGGTGCTAGGATGAAAGAAAAGAAGAAGATTGTGGCTGTGTCCTATCACCCACCTTGAGGGCAAGGTGGATGTTTAGGGGGGAGATTTGTTAGGGACCCGGCCCAATAGAGTATTAATAATAATAAATGTACAAGTTGAGTATAAATAGAATAAGCTTGGGCAGGTAGAGTAGGCTGTTTTGACTGATTAGTCTATTCTGGGAAGATTGAGATCATTCTCTCTCTTTTGGGGGGGGGGGGGGGGGGGCTTCGGCTCATTTGGGGGCTTCGGCCAGTTCTTATTTATCTCTAATAAAACTGCTTTGATTTCTTGATACTATTTTACATTTCTGCTGTGAATTTGTTGTGATTTCTGGAGGTTTCTATCATTTGTTGCTACTTCATTATTAGGATTATTATAATTTTATTCGTATTGAAGAATTATAAGACTAATTTATTACTAGAATATTGGGGCATTTATGTTTTTAAGTTTAATCAATACAGGGCCGAGTAATCACGGAGTAATCCTGAGTAATCGGTCCTAATCATGAGTCGGCTCTTGACCGAGTTGCCACCGAGTAGCGATTTAACTACTTAGGGTGGGGGCATATTAAGACTTACGTATTATTGGTGTACATATAAGTAAGGAGTGCAGTGAAGCAATAGAATCCGGCATAGGACACTACTCTTCGCAATTTCTGGATCTTGAGGATTTGTAGACATCCATCATACACCCACATTTCCTCTGTTCACACAATGAAGCATGCACACCTAAAAAACAAATTCCAGAGGGAAACCATTATTGAGTCTCTGGTCATACACATACTCCAACTCTCATCCAGTGGTTCATTTACAGAACTATTACTCACATTAGAAGGCTCTCGTCCACTACTCACATTGTCAATTTAAATCATTTTTAATCTTTTACTTTATATATCAAATTTTTAAATTTACATTTTTTTATCAGGCTTTGTAGCGGATTTAATGTAGTTTCTAAATATATAAATTTTATTTATTAAAAATAATCAGTGTGTACAGGGATTAAGTTGCTTTATCGTCAGTCAAGCATCGTAAACCGTCAACGGGAACCTTCTAGCGGGACGGAGGGAGTATATTTCAAAAACCAAGAATCAAGGAAATATACTAGACCCATAAGAAGACCTGGTATATGAAAACAAATTTAAGTACCCTTCAATTGATCAAACACATTTAGTCAAACCGGTTGCCTGCATAAGTTTGAAACTTTGAATGGAGACACATCTAAAGATGAAGAGCATACCAGTATGCGGTGTTTTACAAGCTCTGTGCTCTGTTCTAGAAATTGTGATTAAGGAGTTGAAAAGTACTATATGTGGTAGTTACAACCTACATACGGTTAGAATTCAAAAAATGCTATTCGCAATGTCAGGTCTAAGCCTAGAGCTGCAAATTCATGTGAAGAATTGAAAGCTCACCGACTTACCATCAGACAACGTTTTCATATGTATAGCATAACATTAATTGCATAAAAAGTAAAACACAAAAAATAAATAATAGTACTCCGTACAAATGTTTTACAACAATAAAAATTTCCATCAAAGTCAAATACAAAAAACATATCATAAATTCATAATTGTGCTTTATGGGTTTTCATAGATCTACATCACCAGATAATGAGACAATGACATCACTGTGTACTTGTAGGTTTATCTATTCTTCAAAATATTTCCATCATGTTATTTGAATTTCAGCATATTTATTATGAAAGAGAAAGACTGTATTTTAGCTCCTTGGAATCTATAAGCTCAATTACTGATTGTATACTAAGAAAGCTGCGAGTGTTACTAATGGTCATCTCACTTGAGTGTACCAAAATTGAATTGTTAGAGGATGTACAAATAAAGTCATCTTTAAAGAAAAACAAGGAGAAACTTGGCCCCGGCAACACTTAAAAAAGCAGGAAGAACAGTAAAGTTAAAAAGAAGAATCATGTTTCTAAGCTCGCGATAAATGCTTCAAGTCACTATCCTAATTTTAAAATGGTTTATTTTAAGGATGATGCATCTGGATTGGCTTAAGGTGAAAATGGAAAGATTTGTTTACCTAGTAGCTTGGATGACAAGGTGCAGCAGTTGAAATTTGTAAAAGATACTAATCTTGCAACACTACACCAAGCATTTCTAGGAAGAAAAAAGAAAGAAATAAACATTAAGACCAACTGGATATGAACTTTTAAAATACACCTAACTAAATTAATCAGGTTTATTTTTATATTAACAACTCCAAGTGATGCATTTCTCACCATAGAATGTGGTCATACCTCGGTGGAGAATTTATAAAATCATAGATGATACAAGTTGAATAGAAATTTCAAAAAATTTAAAAACATCTCGATTAGAATAAGTGAAGGGCAGTGTTGCAGATTTGGTAATTTGACCATAGATCTAAAAGCTCATAAACAAGGCAACTGTAAAACAAGTTATGGAACAATACGTGGAAGAATTGTTGGAACAATCTCACTATAAAACAAGTTAAGGAACAATATACAGAGGTGAGAATACACTACACTGAAAGGGGGCAATAACCTGTGACTTTGAGTGAAATATAGCATCGAGCCTGTATTTTTTTGGGTAATACCAGGAAGATCTTTTTCTTAACAAAGCGGCAACATACATATCCATCATTGGAGTTTCAAAGTTAAAAAAAAACAGATTCACTGATTCTTGACAAATATCAATTTTATATACTGGTTCACAAGGCAGCTTTTCTACTGCCTTAGTTTTTATAATAGGCTACTTGAGTAATAAAATCTCAAAGTGTTCATGACAGCCTAATTCCTAGACCAAGGCAAAAGAGAGATTTTGAAGCTTAATTTACTTCAAAAAACCAAGGGAAAATACAAGTGCAATTTTAAAGAAACACAAATTTGTTGGTTCTTGTCAAAAATCAGTTTTATATATGGCTCATTGCTTGACACTGAGGTTTATAAACATATCCTATCAGCAAAGATATTCCAACACTCATTGATTTCCCAGGAAAATGAGTACAGACTAAGGCAGCCATTGATACACAATGAAAAAAACCATAAGAACGAAATTCACAAGTAGAATAGGCAGACTGAAAATTAACTAATTTCAGGAATCCGATCAAATTCGAAATTTTAACAAGGTGAAGTGAAAATTCCTTTAAGATTGAGAGCTAACCTTGAAGCCGTTTACAGAACACGAGCCGACTGAAGATTTGGGAGATTCCGTGATGTCCGAGGCTCCTAGCAGCGATGCTTTCCGGGTCTTCACTTGAACGCAGATAGGAGGTGTAGCGTGTCGTTTGACGAAGATTTCCTTCGATTTTAATAGCTAGGGAAGCGCAGCTGTTTGGAGAAAAGTAAAGAGCGTAGGTGGAGAAAGGCAGGGCGTTGAAGCAAAGTTCATGCGAGCGAGTAAATACAGTTCACTGTATTTCATGCAAGCAATGTTAAACACCAAAATCAGTTTTAAAGCAGAATAAGAATCAGTTTTCAGAAGCGGGTCCCTCCAACTTCTAAAAAAACTGATTCTAAAAATAAATTTGAGCATCAAAACTGCATTTTCATCCAAACACTCTAACTTCTGCTTCTGCTCCCTGAACGAGCAGAAGCAGTTTTAAGAATCAGATCCAAACACCCCCCAAAAAGACAGACATGAAATCGCACTTTTAGTCATGAAATAGTCTCGAAAATGAAATGTCAGACTCGTGTTCCCACGATTTGTAAATGTGGTTCCTCAATTATCCTAAATACTGTAAATGTAGTCATTTGAGGGGTGAAATATACAATGTGGACGAGAGTATATTTCACCCTTAAAGGACTACATTTACAACAATTTGAACAATTAAGGGATGTCATTTACAAAATCAGAAATACGGGTTTGACATTTCATTTGCGTGACTATTTCAGGGACTAAAAGTGCAATTTTCCCTTCATTTATTTCATTTTGAAAACGGTCACGTAAACAGTTTTTTTAATTCTTCTATCTCCAAGATTCTAAAAATACATTGAAGGTAGATATGATTCGGTTCTTTTAGAGAGAGGCTCTAACATCTCTCTTACCCTAATCAACGTTTTTCCCTAGCAGCTTTGCCATGCGTAGGGTTTTATCTCCCTAGCGGCTTGACGTCGCATGGGGTTCTTTCCGCCAATTGTTTGTGCGGCTCTTCTTGTGTAAGCTTCTAGAGTGGTTTTTAAGGAGACGTGAGTGCGGCTGCATCCTTTGAAATGAATCCAAGGTTCAAGAAACGATAATCATGTCTTATATGAATGATCTAGAGCAGGGTTGTCTCATTCCCGCAATTGAGGAGGTCGAAAGATTGGTTTCTGGCGAATCAACATGGGTAGAGGGCGGTGGTGGTAGTGGAGGCAGAACGAGCGACGAGAAGACGAGGAGAGGTGAAGGGCTGAGCAAGGGAAAAGATAGATCGGCAGTCTGTCCCCCTCCTGAACCGCCGCCTTGGAGCGATCCAGCGGTTTATTTTTCTGCATTTTATATTGTTCTTTTATTTAAGCAGATTGTTTATTGCTTTGTTGCTGTTATTTTTTATTGTAAGACTCTTGCATTAAAATGGAGTGAGTTTAGATCTACTTCAATCGGCTGTGGCTTAGGTTTGCCCATTAATGGATCAGCGAGTTATATTGCTTGTTTGAAGGTGATTAACTTCAAGTCTGGTTCGAGGGATGACGGTTGTTCGTGGTCTTTTACTGAATTTACTCTCTTTTCGAATGCTAATGCTTTGATTTCAATAAAAGCCCCCCTCTTCCAAAAAAAATCTTCTATCTCCAGATCTCCATTTTTTTTTTGAAAAAACAAAAACATAGTTTTGTTAGTAAACGGGCATTTAGAAACTATTGTATTTGTCTAAACTAAATCTTTTTTATATGAATTTTTTAAATTTTTATCTGATCAGAACTTTTTTGGTCTAATCTGATCTGAATCTTTCTGATGTGATTTGATCTAATATGATCTGAATCTTTTTTATCTTATCTTAATCTCTTTGATCTGAAACCCTTTGATCTGATCTGAATCTTCTTGATCTGATCTGATTTGAATATTTCTAATCTTATTGAGTGTATCATCATCATCATCATCATCTTGGCAAAAAACATGATAGTCCTATTTTAGAATTTTCAAACATTTTTACTTCCATTTAGGGCAATTTCTGGGATTTTTTTTGAAAAAATACTCTCACTTTTATTACTTTTACTCCACTTACTTTTTACAAACTACTTTCTACATTACTTGATACATAAGGATGACGGATATACTTTCAGCTCATACACATTACATATTAATTTATACTAGTATTCCACTCGTGCGATGCACAGATTAAAATGTCTATTCAAATATTTACATGCAAAGAGTAATTTATTAAATTAAATGAAGAAAAATAATCATAACAGACCATAATGATATATACAAAATATCAGGCAACATAGAGAAATTTAGAAGAATACACAGATCAATTAATGTGACTCCTGTTATTTCTCTCTCATCGATTTGCACAAATTTCTGCCACAATTTTTATTTTATTATTTTCCATGTCAATCAATATTTATTATCATATATTGTTAGGCAGTATTATTGATGGTGTAATTGAGGACAGTGCAAGAGAATAGGGCAATTAGTTAGTTAGTACATTCAACTATTTTTTGGAATAATCATCAAATTCCTAGGTATCCTCTACTTTTGTGTGTGAGAAAAATGCCTGTACAAAACCATTAATCACCCACTTTCGCTTTATTGGGACTTTTATTTAAGTATCACAATTCACAATTGAGCTATTTTGATAGTGTTTTTAGAAATTTAATATTGGTCTTACTTTTATAAAAACTTTAATATTTTGGAGTAGTACTTTCGTCCCTTTTTATTTAGTCATTTTAAACGTTTCTAATCAAAGATGGTAAACTTTGATCTGATATTTTAATAAATATATTTGTGTGAAACTTAATAAATTTATACGTTTATGATAATACCTTTTATAAACATATATCCTTTTGGCTATCTTATAGGTAACGTAGTATGGACATGTTTTTTTTTTTTTTGCAACGTAGTATGGACATGTATTATTCATATGGAAATGTCTGGGGATTTCTAAGCATATTAGCAGCTCACTCATATAAATCCACATATTCAATCTTGTAATTTTCTATTCTCCTTTTCTATGTTTATCTTTTAAATAATCTGCAGCTCCCATCCATTGTTGACTTCAAATTACCCAATTCAAGCGATTTACAGTGTTAGATTTCAGATGGAATGAAGCAGGAGATAGATATCCGTAAGTCATAGCAGTAAATTGCAAGAAATGTCGAAAAAATATTTTTCTTCAATTATTTTGGACTTTTCATTTTCCAGGTGGAGTAATAGTTACTCCGTAAGTTTTTCTTGCGAATTTGTGTTCAAACCGGCGATGTCAGTCTTGAAAGAAATCTTGAGTTATTTCAAATATACTACCTCCGTTCTCTTTTAATTGCAACATTGGACTTTTTGCACTATTCACATATTTTACTTTGACTATATTTTATTAATTAATGTATTATAAATTAAATTTTCAAAAAATATTGTTAAATTCTTTTCATTCTAAATTTTCAAAATATGAAATTTTTAAATTTTTTACTAATAAGGAATAAAAGATATCAATGATCAAACGTGTGCGTTGGCAAACGTGAAATATTACTGTTGCAATTAAAAGGGAACAAATGGAGTATTAGTTTAAGATTTTTTTTCCAGTTTATGCCTCTATGCGACACATGTATCCGACTATCCGAGAGACCGTTTCAAGGTCTATCTATGTCTTTTTTTTTATATATCGGAACAAAAGTCTATTTATGTCAAGTTGAATTTAAGTGTAGTTTATTAGTCCAAATTGGCTAATTGTACCTTCAACATTTTTAAGTGTAGTTGGTTCTTTTTATTAGTCCTTCTTTCCTTTTTGGAACGTTTTTTTTATCTGTCCTCCTTTCGATTTAAGGAAAGTTTTTACTCTAAATATACCTTTATACCCCAACTTTTATTACTATTACCCCTTTCTCTTTCCTACTTTTTCATTTACCCACTACTCATTACCAGTGTTCTAAAAGGCGGCCAAAGGCGCCGCAAAGGCGAGCCTAGGCGCCAGGCGTATTGAAAACGCCTCGCCTACCTATTAGGCGTGCTAAAAGGCGGCCCAATTAATATTCTAAGTAAAATTTGACTACTAGCCCCTGTGGGAAAGCTGAAGACCCGGGTGGATTGAGTCCGTTTAAGGCAGCGTTCATTGTGAGCAAGGTGTGAATCGTTGAGGAGGAGCAATATATAGGTTAAGGAGAAAGGCGAATGGCTGAAATCCTCCGGTGTGGGAAATCCATTATCCATAACTAAAAAGTAAGGCGCATTACAACTTGCTCCGCACAACCTCATGGCTAATACTCCCTATTACTCCGGTGTGGGAGTACTAGTTTTTTTTTTTGGAAGAACTCCCTATTGCAGTATTACTACTTATTTTAGTTATTTACGAAAGATGTTTTTATTTTATTTACGTAAGATACATACACACTAACACACATACAACAATAAATATAGCAGCTACAATTTGGAACAATTAATGTATTATTTGTAAAATCAAAATTACTATTATTATTATTATTATTATTATTATTATTATTATTATTATTATTATTATTTTGACTCTGCTTTTTAGAAAGAGACTTTGTGTTATTATACTTTGTGTTATATTGGTATTATTATCATTTTTATCACCACCCTAGTTTTCCAAATCTAGTTTTTCAACAATAAGGATGTTTTAATTGGATTGATTTTTAACCTAAATTAGATTAGGCCGACTAGACCAAATTAAATTTGAATAGATCAACTAATAGCAGACTAGATTAGTCCGACCAGAGTTCAACAGTGATAAAATAAATGCAAACAACAATGGGAAATGGGTTTCTTAGAACATTAGAAATGTAACTTTATTAGAAATCCAGAAAATAATGACGTTATTTCATAATAATATGTAATACTAAATTTATATTCTTATTAATGATTGTAGAAAATTTGATATTATGATGAAAATATCAAAACGCCTTTTCACGCCTACGCCTCGCCTAAACCCGCCTAGGCCTCAAAGGCTTCAGGCTCGGTCGTGCCGCCTCGGCACGCCTTACGCCTTTTAGAACATTGCTCATTACACCTTTTACACTGCCCCTACTACTTTCTTCTTAAAACCCGTGCCAAAGCCTAAGAGTACTAATATTAAAGAACGGAGGGAGTAGCATTTAACAATTTGTTGTTATTCTAACTTTATGTTATTGAAGGAAAGGAATAATTGAGTTTAAAATAGATTAGCTGTTACATATCATATTAGCCGTTACATATCATTATCATTTAATATTGGATTATTACTTACCATATAGATGAGATTACTACTTGTATAA